AGATTATAGTATTGTAGGATTGTAGTTTACTATATTTTGTGCACTACCCTACAGAATCATCCCAATCAATCTAAAAAATTATAAATTCTTTCCAAATACAGTAGTTATTTCCATCTAGTTAATTTGTAGTTGTATCGAAATATATATCGCAGAATAAAAAATATCGCAATGATAGATTTTTTCAATATCATGTAGCCCTACTCTCGATTAAAACGATTGTTAAAATTGTGTATTATAGTTAGAGTTTATGGTCTGAATAACTTATATTTATTTTAGACTACTAAAATAATATGTTCAGAATAAATCAGACGAATGAATGTATTTGGTTAAAATGTAGTCTGTACTAACTACTTCTGTTATTTTGAAGAGATATTTCAGCAGCAGTTTTATCACGATTACGGTATATACTATATACTGTTTTGCATTATACTGTACTCTGGTTTGCACTCCTTGCCATGTACCCTTAAGTGTAATTGTACTGTTTAAAATTTGTATTTTTACTTATATTTTTAGATTTTATTAATTGTATTTAATTCAGTTCATCGCTTTATTTATAAAGCACTTTTACAATGTAGATTGTGTCAAAGCACCTTAACATAGAAGTTGTAGTAAACTGAAACTGTGTCAGTCCAGTTTTTTTTTTAGTTCAGTTGTTCAGTTCAGTGTGGTTTAATTTTCACTGCTAAGGCTCCAAACACTAAAGAGCAATCCATTGATGTGCAGCTCCACAAGTCCCAAACCAAGCAAGCCAGTGGCGAGGAACAAAACTTCACCAATTCATTGTCATTTCTTTTTTAAATTATACTTTTTGTATTAATATTTTCTGTCATGCACCTAGGGTCTGAGAGTAATGCAGTTTTGATACTCTGTATGTGGTTGAATAGACAATAAAGCTGACTTTAACTTTGATTCACAAATGTCATGTGAAAAAATCATGTGCCCTCTACGTCTATTGCATGAACGGGTCAGAATCTTATTTAAAAAGGCAATCTTTTTGTCTTTTCTTTTGTGAGTGAACTCAAAAAATAATTTTGCTGCTCGTTCAAACTACTTAAAATGAGCTGAATCAACAAAATTCTTGAGGGGTTTTATTGGGACAACTTAATTGTTTTATATTCAAGCCACTTAAAAGTTCATTCATATTCTTGTCGTCTTAGTCCCTTTATTAATCCGGGGTCGCCACAGCGAAATGAACCGCCAACTTATCCAGCAAGTTTTTACACAGCGGATGCCCTTCCAGCCGCAACCCATCTCTGGGAAACATCCACACACACATTCACACACACACACACACATACACATACACAACGGACAATTTAGCCTATCCAATTAACCTGTACCGCATGTCTTTGGACTGTGGGGGAAACCGGAGCACCTGGAGGAAACCCACGCAAAGGCAGGGAGAACATTCAAACTCCACACAGAATCGCCAACTGAGCTGAGGTTTGAACCAGCGACCCAGGGACCTTCTTGCTGTGAGGCGACAGCACTACCTACTGCGCCACTGCCTCGCCCCAGTTAAAAGTTAACTTACTCAATTTGTGTTGTATTAACATGATGGAATATTGTGCAACCCAACATTTTTACGGTTTACAATGAAATTAGATATAGGATTACTTGTAGAACCACATACTGTGGTTCTTTGACTACTTTACAGTAAGGAAGTACGCTATTTTTTATGCAGCCATTGTGTTTTTCACAGCTGATTTTCAGGAAGATAAAACTTCCTTAATATTCTTTGACTAAAAATGCCAAAGTATATAATCACAGCTCATTAAGTCATTTGTTTAAACTAAATTGGACAATTTGTTCATTAAAGCTTGCAAGCGCAAAACTGCAGTGCAACTATCACTGCTGAAATTAAAGATGGCTTTAAATGCAAAAAAAAAAACACTAAATATATGGTTTTTAATCGCAGTCATACAAAAATGGAAGTTTTACCAATCTTAACCCTGTAAGGGGGACTGTTTTGAAAAAGTAAACAGTTATAGACCATTTCAATGTGGTCATGCCATTGGCCCATAAACATTCCTGCTTGTTATTAAACTATTTCATAACTGTAATCAACTCAATGTTAAAACAATATCATAACATTATTTTTTCAATATGTGGACCATTTTGGATTTTCTAAAGCTATAGAAATTAAAAATCTAACAGGAAATATGATGGGATCATTGTTTTTGTTTACATCCCTCAAAGTGGTCTATAAATATTTAGACATATGGTTTGATGAGTGGTTGGGTTTTAATATTCATATTAAAAATCGTGTAAAGACGCTCAGGCCAAAATTGGGTTTTCTTTTTTGTATTAAGAAGTCATTTCAAAACAAGAAAAAGAATTATCCAAATCTGTTTCTATTCAGTGATTATTTAGATTATGGAGATGTAGTTATATGCATGGTCAAGGTCAAGAATCTTGGTGTGATTCTGGAGACAGATCTGAGATTCAATAGTCATGTCAAAGCAGTTGGTAAATCAGCGTACTATCAACTTAAAAACATTGCAAGAATTAGATGCATTGTTTTCATTGAAAACTTGTTCATGCTTTTATCACCAGCAGGGTGGATTACTGTAATGGACTCCTCACTAGCCTTCCCAAAAAGACAGTCAAACAGTTGCAGCTCATCCAGAACGCTTCTGCCAGGATTCTGACTAGAACCAGAATATCAGAGCACATCACACCTGTCCTCAGGTTTTTACACTGGCTCCCAGTTACATTCAGAATATATTTTAAAGCAGGGGTCACCAAACTTGTTCCTGGAGGGCCGGTGTCCTGCAGATTTTCGCTCCAACCCTACTCAAACACACCTGAACAAGCTAATCAAAGTCTTACTAGGTATACTTGAAACATCCAGGCAGGTGTGTTGAGGCAAGTTGGAGCTAAACTCTGGAGGGACACCGGCCCTCCAGAACTGAGATTGGTAACCCCTGTTTTGAAGTATTATTACTGGTATATAAATCACTAAATGACCTAGGACCTCAATACATTACAGATATGCTCACTGAATACAAACCTAACAAATCACTCAGATCTTTAGGATCAAATAAACAAGAAATTCTAAGGGTTCAGTCAAAGCAGGGTGAATCAGCCTTCAGCTATTACGCCCCCTGCTGCTGGAATCAGCTTCCAGAAATGATCAGATGTGCTCCAACATTAGGTACGTTTATTCCTGTTTATGTAAAGCACTTTGAATTGCCACTGTGTATGAAATGTGCTATATAAATAAACTTGCCTTGCCTGCAAACCTGCCATTATTTAAAAAAGCTGGACAGTATAGTTCATGCTGCAATACGATTTGTGATAAATGCATCTTCACATACCCATCATTGTACTTTGTACAAAATGGTTTGATGGTTTTCCCTGCACCAAAGGAGAAACATGCTTATGCTTCTATTCACCGCTAGAGCATTATTGGGTATATTGCCATCTTATATTTGTAAACTTTTATCATGTTATACTTGTAGTTATAGTACACTAAATTCTTTTAAACTACATTTAACTGTTCCTCTCAGAAAAAAAGATACACGGTGGTACAAAAAATGTTCCTTGAGGAACAGTTTTGTACCTTTGTAAATATTGTACCTTATATGGTACAGAAAAGACCTCTTATGATGCTGTTCTGTGCCTTTTATGGTACAACTGTGAAGTGAAGGTACACAATTGCTCTCATAAAAAGGTACATAAACGTTGAACAACTCCTTCTTTATTACAATATGTATAAAATAAATATTACTGGAAAGGCAAAGTGATTTATTAATAATTTCCATATTAAAACAAGAATCATCATTTAAAACATATGTTTATAGAAACTCATGAACATTCATTAAGTTCAATAATACAAAACTGGCAAAATATAAACCTATAGGTATTGTAAACTAAACATTTAAGGCATTTTAAATAAATGTTTAGTAAGCATTTTTGACACTGTTAAGGTACAAATTGTCTTGTCGCTGTAGTGGTACCTTCATAGATCAGATTTGTCCCTTTGATGATGGTACAATATTGTAACTGCAGGTTTCAAAAGCCAAAGGGACATTTTGGTTTTCCATGGTTCAAATCATGTACTTTTAGGTTCAAACGGCAATGGTACAAATGTATTTCTTTGTCTTAAGGTACAATTCTGTCCCATAAAAAGGTACTGCCCCAGTGACAAGGGTTTGTACCTATTTTAATACAACATTGCACCATTTCTTCTAAGAGTGTAGAGTTTAGTAAAACAGTGTTATCCCATTTCAGCCCTACATTATTAAATGAAATGCGTTATCAGTGTTATCATATTAGAAACAAATCCATCTCTAAATATTTTTTAAAATCTTCTGAAGTCCTACCTGGATTAATCATGTGAATGTTTTGTGTAAATTTTAATTTGTGATGTTTTATGTGTCTAATTTTGTATCTGAAACTTTTTGTGCTGCCATTTTGGGGTGCATATCTGAATGGGAAATTCATGGTAAAATAAAAAGATAAATAAAAATAAATAAAAAGGGGGCGTATTCCATCAGTGTTAAACCAATGAAATGCTTATTCACAGTCCACACTAGAATACTATTGGCTTGTTTAGTATGTAATGACAGATCAGAAGTCACGCTTCAAAAAAAGAGGACACACTTTAAGTGAACGGAAAATACGAGTCAGTGCATGGAAGTCAGCTTCACTCACGAATAAAAATCCGTTCAAAAACATCACATATGACAGATCTAGCTTGTATGAATGCCCTTCACATTAATAGGGAGTGTCCCATTTCCAGAAACGTTGCATACTCGTTCAAAACCAAATAAAATCGGTATTATTATACTTTTATCAATCATGTTTAATAACAATATTACTACACATGTTCTCCATCCACTTGCTGTAAAAGTGTACACACAGCGCCACGTTGCCAGCCATTCATGCGTATTTTGGCGCGTGTGCTGCACACATGTAATAGACACCAGATCAGTAACGTTTATTTTCTCATGCGTCATGATCAACTGACAAAATAAATAAATAAAAATCCGTACTTATCTGCCGCCGCTTCCTGGACGGTCTCATCTTTCTTCGCTGTCTCAGTGGGTTCAATCGCTCCCTCGGTCTTTGTACATAGGAATCTTCTCCCAGCTAAAGGCTGAATGAAACACCTTCCATAATGGACAATGTTTAGTTTAGATATTCTGCCATTATTAGCAGCGCTGAAGCAGTACGCGTTAGGTAAAGTCTTTTTGTGCCTAATAATGTCCGACAACAAACGCTTAGGGCTGGTTTGAATCAACTCCTTCAGCACAATTGAAGCCCTAAACTGTAACATTTCAGTTCTATCGAGCTACTTCAGTTTTAATGTCTTTATTTTTAATAATACTAGAAGACAACTTGTAGTTCTGGAAGCCACGGCACTGTCAATTCCCACACTTTGCGCACCTACTGAGTCTGTGAGGATCTTTTTAATGACGAACGCCGAGCAAACGCACTCGTACACGCCCACCTAACGTCCTATTGGGCGGCGTGATAATATATGCAAGTATTCTCTCACGTCATTGGCTGAATTAAGCATGTTTCATTTTTGATGGCCATGCATCACATCCTGCAATGACTCACTTCGGCCAGCGTTGGGTTTGACTTTGTAGTGACGTTTATTTGAGAAAACTTGTGTGGATGATGCTTTAAGTACATTTATCTTTTTTTTCCCATATACATCATAAACATAACGTTATACTAGTTAGTACAATAACTAATTTTAACATAAGTCGTTTAAAGAGCAAAACAGTTGGTCAGAATAACAAATGTTTTATTTGTGGTGAAAAAATGCTTTGTTAATTGTCTAAAAATTACATATGTTTGTTACTTTATCTTATAAATAGTACTACGTTGCAGGAGTTATTGTAAAAAAATTACTTGAAATGTCATCAGTACTTTACACGTTTAAAAACATTGTCTTAAATAAAAAACTTAAATAAAAATAACAACATTTATAATATGCCCTTTTACTTTTAATTTGATATTTATTTTCATTGTATGACATCTATGATTTGTACAAGCCATTATGGATGATAACAAGACATCTCTGAATGGTTCAAGTCATTATTCTCTCATGTAAAACTTTTTCTCTTTTGGTATGTTTGAGATAGATAGACGGATGAACGGACGGACGGACGGACGGATGGACGGACGTAGACAGACAGACAGACAGACAGACAGACAGACAGACAGACAGACAGACAGGCAGGCAGGCAGACAGGCAGATAGATGCACAGAAGGAAGGAAGGAAGGAAGGAAGGAGGGAAGGATGGATAGATGGATGGATGGATGGATGGATGGATGGGTGGATGATAGATAGATAGACAGACAGACAGACAGACAGACAGACAGACAGACAGACAGACAGATAGATAGATAGATAGATAGATAGATAGATAGATAGATAGATAGATAGATAGATAGATAGATAGATAGATAGATAGATAGATAGATAGATAGATAGATAGATAGATAGATAGACAGATAGATAGAAAGCACTTGATGCAATAATCTGATGCCTGGAAATGTTAAAATAAGAAGGAACCAGGTGAGAAGCTTGCTGACAACAAAATAGGATTGAGGCATGTTTTAGAGAAAGCTGCTTATCTCTAGCGGCTGCAAAATAAAGAGCTCAGCTCTGCAGGAAGCTCAAGAAAACTCTGTGTGTTTAATATAAAGAGAAAATGAAGGCACTTTGAGCATTTCAGGTGTACATATGGGCTTGTGCAATCATTCAGTAACAGTTCAAGGAGTTAAGCAATCTCTGTTTATACATAAGAAGCCATCACTATAGACTAAAATAGCTTTTTTTATGGGCTGAGATTTTATACTTCATTTAAATCACAACCCCATAAATTCCATGAAGTCTCCATGAACTCACACACTTCATTACAAAGGGTGCTATCAGGCCAATCTCAGAAAAATTTACATCAATGTAATGCATTTGACCTTAAGTTTCCAACAGTGTTGACATTCAAAGCTGATTGGTTTGATTCATGATCTGAAATCTTTTATTTATATATATTTTTTTCTCCCTTGAAATGAAATGAGAAAACTACTTCTGTAACCCAGGATACAGGAAAAAAGTATTATGCTTAAAAATAGACCAAAAAAATACAGACAAGTAGTTCTGAACGCCCTTGAAAAGAATGATGATATGAGTCACTGAGGCCTGTATTTCTAGAAACTTCTAAATTTTGGCCTAAAACAAGGGAAAATGTGTCGGTTTGCGCCCTCTACTGTCTCAAAGGAGAAATTCTAGATCAAATCATGATTTCACTCTTCACAATCACAAGAAAACGATGCATGAGCACCGATATAGTGAAATGCTGCCATCTTCTGGAGAATTTGTACAATGTGGTTGTAAAATAGATATCAGTTTTTCTCTGTCGCTTTGGTGCATTCCTCACAACACTAGTGCATTTCTGCACAACAGTTAATGCATTTCTCAAAACAATTAGTACAAACTGCAAATATTAGCTGATAACCTGCAAAAGCACGTCACTTGCGCAAAATGGAGAGCTCATTCCTCAAAAGCAAGTATTGATGTCAATGAAAGTGTCAATGTCATCAAGATGAAAAATCCTGACACTATTGTTTATGAACAAGATAGTCAAATGGCTTTGTCATGTTTTCTTTTACTCTGTACATTTTTTTATGCAAAAAAGTCAGATTTTGGTGAAACTTCCTTAAAATGTATCTCATAACATGTCTATAGTAAAATATAAATAAACATGAACTGTAGTACACATAAAACCAGTTTATATAACAGTAAATTAGGAATAACCAGAGGCGGGCATTTTCTTTGACACATTTTAACGTTAATCTTTTTTTTTAGTATTAATGTAAAAAGTCAGCCAATAGAAGATACATCCCAACAAACAGTTTCGTGTTTAATAAAAGACATCTAAATGTAGACAGCTTGGCTAAAACAAAGCTAAACTTGGCCTATTCTTAGACGTCTATTAAATTTTCACTGACAGTCAAATTTAGCCTTGTTTTTGCCAAAGACAACCATCTTTAGTCGTGTATTAGACATCTATTAGACATCTTTAAAAATGCTGGGATATTACTGAAAGTTAACAGCAAATATTACTAAAATAATAGTTTTTTTGTACTACTCATTCCATACTCGTTATTAAAAATATGTAGGATAAAATTTTATTTTCAGCATAATATTTGATTTAAAAAATGTGTTGCATATTTACCAAGGCACTAAAAGTTTTAGTCCATATGACGTGACAGCAGCTGTGCATCCGATGTGCGAATCTTACCAGTAAAAAAAATGAATAAATTAAATAATATAAAAAAAAGCAAAAAAAAAAAAAATTATAAAAATTCATCTTTCCAGTTTGAGATGATTTGAGGTTTCAGGACATTGCGACAAATCGCAATATGCGTCCACTGTGGTCACCAATGCATGAACATCTAGTAACCACGCTGATATAATCTCCATTAGATCAGTAAGTAACCAAGAATAGGTCTGCTCAAGGGCAGGTTGTGGCGTTTAAATGATGCTCAGTTGATACCAAGAGGTGAGAAACTCTAGAGGGCAGTATAAACTAATGTGTTTTCTCTGGACTCCACTCAATGCTCTAGCTACTTGCATTGATCTTCTCAATCATTAACGAGAGCTCTGGTGACACACAGACAGCGTATTTTGAAACATCTGTAGCAAAATTCTTTTACGTACGTTGCAGTAATGTATAATATGTAACATACACGGCCAAAATGACCCCAATTCTAAGGAAGACAATCAATCCACAATGACTTGATAACGTGATTTCAGGATGGCAAGCCGTTTAACTTTGATTCATTCGCAGGATTGAATTCTCGTTAAAATGCTAATTGTTCACATCAGGAATTTGATTTCTACAATGGCAGTTTTTAATATCAGAAATAAACCTTCCAACTAGTAGGCTGAAATGGTATTCTAAGTACGTATTTCACCAAAAAATGTGATCTGATAGTAATGGTGGCCATACACTGTGTGATTTTTGCTCATTAGGTTGTATATGTTTTTCCCGTTAGGAAAAGTTGTGCAAAATGTCAAAACAACATTTAAAAACCATGTCAAAAATGCGAATTGATTTGATATCAATCAACGAATTTGATGTCAAAACAACATCAACTTGACATAAAACATTCAAGTAAAAAATATGTCAATAAACATGCCAAAAATTAATACAGGATTGTCCTGGAGGCTTATCGATTTTTGACATTATTGTTTGATGTCAGTTTGAATGCAAAAATCCAGTCTAACTTTCATTTCAAGTTTTCAGATGAATAAAATGTATATCATCATAATACTTTTGTGTGTATTTTATTTAGTGATCAAATGGTCAATAATGTGTGGATGTCAAATAGACGTCAAGGTTTTGACATCAAATAAATTAGCATTTTTGACATGTTTACGTCATGCTTGTTGTCAGTTTAATGTTGTTTTGGCGCTATGGTTCCCATTGGGGTATGGCTGTAGTTTGTGAAAGGAATTTATGAACCGAGTCGCTCATTCCTGATTTTTTTTACACATGTAAAGGACATCCGGGAGCTGCTGGCTTAAATTTTTGAGGTGTGTGCCTGTATTTGTTGCAAATATTCATGACTCTTATCAGTATTCATCTTTTAGGAGAGATTTTCTTCTGTTCGTGTTTTTGGTGCAGAATTTCATGTGATTGCTCCGAAATTGGACAGGTCCAGTCTGATCTCACAAGGAAACATAACTATTTTACATTTTGTTAGTTTAGTGGCTAATTTATAGGAATTGGTATGGGTTCAGTCGTACGAAAATGTACGATTTTTAAAAAGAGGCATGGGACCAAACCCCACCACAAAACTCAATTTCGGCTATTAACGAAATACATGTTACTTATTCAACACGCTACAAAAGCAATAAAATCTTACATTCATTTAGCTCAAACCACATCAAAAGGTGCAAATTATTATTTGTATTCTTTGTTTTCAAATCGTTTATGTAAACAACAGTAGCACTGTGTGACTGTTTGTATATTGCGTGTATTATCCAACACAGGCTCATTCTGAAAACATAGCCCTATATACATTTCTGAAGATCGTGAATTATGTTGCCAGAAGTACTTATGGCTGCATTTAATTTTTTAAATGAACACTACGGGGTGGTATGACGCCATTCCTTTTCGCGCTTACCAGCTGAACGCTTACCTCTATATGGGCGTTTTTCCAGCCATTACCATTTTGTTCATTAGCTCGACATGTACGCCGGTGGACTTGGGACAAAGAGATGAGATGACCACGATGACAGGGTTTGAGTCTGGTGAAGAATGGTTCCAGAAAACGGGTAAGACAAAAACAGAAGCCAAAAAATAAAATAAACAAGTAAAAAACAGGCTGAGAATGTGGTAAAAATCAGACGAGGGCTTTTCTTTTTCTGAATTGCTTTTTAAATTTGTCGGTAGGG